GCCAGTGAGGAAGAGAGTCGAGCGTGGCGGTGGGATGCGCTGCGGGGCGAGCAGAGCAGGAGGACGGTGAGCTGTGTGAATTTCTCGTCTGGCACGACGGGGACGCCCAAGGGGGTGCGCATCTCGCATGCAAACGTGGTGGCAAATGCTTGTCAGGTATGTTCTCAGTCTCTGGCACCCCCTTGTCCCGTATCAATCGCGCGAAGCAACAATCCGCGAAGCAACAAACAATGCTGGGTATGCCATGCTGATGATAATGACCCAGGTTATATATGCCAAAACACACAACGCGGATCAATCACCCGTCACCGTCTACCCCGAACGCTGGCTCGCGTTCCTGCCCCTGAACCACGCATACGCCCAGCTCTTCTCGATCGTCATCGTCTGCAAGCTGCGCACGCCCGTGTTCTTGATGACCCACTTCCGCTTCAACGACTACTTGCGACACATCCAGACGTACAAGATCACGACTCTGCAGGTTGTCCCGCCGGTGATATCCATGCTGCACAAAAGACCCGAGGTCACTCAGTACGACCTCAGTTCGGTCCGATATCTGATGAGCGCGGCGGCGCCGTTGAGCCGCGAGCTGCAGAACGCGGTCGCCACGCAGTTGAAAGGGGCCGTCATCGCACAGAGCTGGGGTATGACCGAGACCACGTGTACGGGATTGATGGTCCCCGGGATAATTCCCGACGATACCGGAAGTGTCGGCTCCCTCCTCCCCAACACGCAGGCCATGTTGGTGGACGAGCAAGGGGAGGAGACAAGTGGAGACGTCGGCGGTGAGCTCTGGATCAGAGGGCCCCAGATGACTACCGGATACTGGAGGAATGAGGAAGCCACGTCACAGACTCTGACCGAGGACGGCTGGCTAAGGACCGGCGACATCGCAAAGTGCGCAGATGGGAAATGGTGGATCGTCGATCGCAGCAAGGAGTTGATCAAGGTCAATGGCTTCCAAGTCGCCCCTGCGGAGCTGGAGGCTGTGTTGTTGGAGCACGATGCTATAACAGACGCTGCTGTGGTGGGAGTCGTGCTACACGGAGAGGAATATCCCAGGGCGTACGTGACTCTACACCAGCACGCTTCGAGAACGGCGAATCTGGTACCCACGATCCAAAAGTTCGTGGCGGAGAAGGTGGCCAAGCACAAGGCATTGAAAGGTGGCGTGAGCATCGTGGACGCCATCCCCCGGCTACCAAGTGGGAAGATCCAGAGGAACGTCGTCAAACAATGGAGCAAACGAGATGCCACAGAGTTGGAGAAGACGGTAAGAGCAAGACTGTAGGCGCCGTGCCGAACGATCAGTTGTGCTTCCAGAGGTTCATCTCGCTTCGGCATCACGAGCTTGCATATATTCAACTGCACCGTGCGACAAGTGACAAGTTAAGCCGTCACTTTGCTTTGCTTAAACAGTCCTCTTTTTGCAGGGGGCAACTGCTCCATCAAAAAGTGTACGGGAGTTGGGAAGACTCTGTGATGTCCCCCATTAAGGATCCGACGTCGAACTGGATTGATTGATTGGCAAAGTCCACCAGGTCGAACGACCCAAAGAGTTCGTCCCAACAGGCGTCACTGTAGTGCCAGATGTGGGAGTTTGCCGGGCTGCTCTCAAACACCGGAGCGGTATCGGACATGGTGCTATAGTCTACCAAGTCCCACAGACACTCGAAGTTCTCCGTGGTCAGCCCTTCGGGCAGTGCTGAGTTGGATATCAGGGTTGCAAAAGCGGATGTATCAGCGGTGAAACGTTTCAAAGATTGTCCCTTTGGATCGGGTCAGTTATGCCAGGGCAAGATCGATTTAAGGGCCACTCACAATCGAACAAGCATTCCTGTAGAATTGGCCCAGGTCATCCAGAAAATTAATGTTACATTTTAAAAGCTCGGCAGACTCAAGTCTCTTGGACTCGGACCAGTGATGTCGATGCAGAGCCACGATAGTGCCTGCCACGACTGTGCAGTAGCCGAAGAACGAAGCACGCGTAGTGGCACCAGAGTACCGGGCTTCTTGCAAGAGGAGAGTGAGCCGTTTCGAATGTTCCCATGCGGTGTCGAACGCCCGAGAAAGAAAGCTGGACGGGCCAGGAATGTGGCAGGACTCGAGCCGACGCCGCAGGAGAAGAGGATGGTGAAGCAGACAGTAACAGAGGTGAAACAAGGCGCGCGAAAATATGGCTGGTCCCGCAGATTGCTGATCGATTTCTCCATCAACTGTGTGACCGGCCATAACTTCAGTTGGTGATTTGTGCATCTCCAAGCGGCTCTCTAGGTATAGAAGATCGGACTGTATGCCGGCAAACTCCGAGTTGGCGTCCCACGGCGGCTCCTGACTCTGCATGTTAAACTGCTGCAGCATGTATTGCGCTGCTCGGCTGAGGGTGTATGCCATTGCGATGACATTGGTGAAGGGACCTGCGTCGTAAGCGACCGGGTTTGAACCTGTTCGGCTAAAGAGCTGTTGCAAGTTCAGAGTCTTCTGCTCCAATCCAGCTCTCCAAGCGACCTCGCTGCACGGCAACTGTAACTGGCAAGATGCGTCCAAAATGGCGGGTGGCTGCGCACGACCACAAGTGACAAGCTTGTCGAGGAGGTAGAGAGACCAAAAGACTCTTCTTCGTTCTTCTTGATCGGCATGGGACAGGGCGTTGCGGCTCTCCATCATGAGTCTCATTGACTGCGCAATGCGTACGGACAGTCCAATTTTGACCCATGCTAACGCGTGTCGGCCTTTCCCTGCTACACTGAGTCAGTAACGACGTCGAATTTGGACATTAAAAAATGGCTACAAACCCGAAAAGTCGAAAATGGAGAGCAATGTCAAGGATTGTAGCGTTTGTAGATCCTCGATTCGAGTGGCTGAAAAGCAGCTTGACACGATGGATTTCCAGGACTGGTTGGCATAGAATACTGCCATGCTGTGTCGATCCCCAAAGAACGGATTGTGCGAGAAGCGCACCGCCGATGCCATGATGGCGAACAGAAGATGGGGTGGAATCTCCCCACAGCTGAGCCGTTGTCGAAAGTTGGCCTCGTGGAACAAGGAATACGGCTGGTTGTGGCAATAAGCGAAATAGATGTCGACGGTTTCTGACAGGACGGTAGATGGGATCGTCCCTGCCAGCGAGAGCTCGTCGGTCAAGGCCACATCATTGTTGACATACGTCGAGCTATCTCCTTCTGAATGTTCTGTCCCATCCTGCCCCAAATCTTTGGTGTATCCTGGTATGCTAAGGAGTCCAGGGCATGAGTCGGAGGTACTCTGGTTGGCAGGACTTGTGTCGGCCGATGGTCTAGTTCTGTCTCTCCGTCAGCATACAGTCACAAAAACGGCAGTGAAGCGTGCAAGAAGACGTCGCACCGGGTCCGAGAAGATTTAGTCTCGCGGAGAAAATCCTCGATGTTGCTGAGGCGGTTGCAAACCTCCTGTAATAAGACATGAGCATCTTCTCTCTCAATAGGATATATTAGATTTACCTCTAAGCGAGATGACAATTGCTTGAGTGAATCGTCATTATCAGGTCGGGCTTTTTCGGAGCGCGCAGTGTCTGGATAGACGCATTCTATGGGCCACATTAGCACGCGCTAGTAAAGGGATCACGATGTGTGGGTACCTCGACGCATTCTTCGACAGTTCTGACATTGCGGACGGTCGCCCGTGCATCTCGCCTTTCTTCGTCTGGAAGCGAGTCATTTTCAGCTCCGATGCAATAGTCGGCAAAGATATATGAGGTATTGGTTACCTGCAGTACTGGCAAGCTTGACTGATTCTTTGGATTGGCTTGTAGGGTGTCGTCCCCTGCCGTCTTTCACCGCCACCATGGGGAGAAGAGTTCATGATGCGAGTCGATCTGTGTGGCTTCTGGTGATGGTGACTTGCAGAGTACCTGAGAGGCGGGTCATGCCTTGAGAGGTGCAGAAATCTCGTGGTTTAATGTCGACCAGCTCATTCCACAAATTGAAGGACAGAGGCTGAGGCTGAGAAAAACATTCGACTAAGAGTTCTTTCGGAGTTGGAGATGCATTCAATAAAGGTGCATCTCGGGGTCCCGCAAGCCACCCCGGCCTTACCGGCAGCTGCGGCTGCTGCGGTTGCTGCGGACTCTGGGGAAAGTGGGGAATAGCGGGTCGACGACTATTCCCTCCCTACCCAGTAGAGATCAGCGAGTCAAATGGTGTAGATGAGACGTCGACCTGGTGTCAAAAATATCTATGTACAGTCTGAGACCAAGACGAAGCATCGTGCATTAGAACACTATGTATGGTGACAACACACAAATTTGAGTCCGAAAACATTGAGTCTATAAGCATATCACCAAAGGGCGTTGTTCAGTCGGCAGACACCTCAAGCCCTGCCAGATCGCCTGACGTCTTCCAATCTTCGGGGATGTCGAAGAAATCCAGAGCCCCCGCTAGCCACTGTGCAGCTCGTGCAACTTTGGCCCTGTCTTCGCTCGAACTCAGCATTTCCAATTCACGGGCACTGCCAACGTTGTTGATGGGGGCGCTTTGCTTATATAAAACCAGTTTATGCGGGTTCTACTCGGTACAGAGTTCTTGATATCCCAGGCAGTAACGAGTAATCCGCGAGTCGGCAGCGGCTCCGGATAATCCCCGGCCCGCAATATCCGCACTTGCCGCCAAGATGAGTGGGTCACCCTTAACCGAGACACCAGAGCCATTTCCCACCTCTACCGACTTACTACCCATCCACCATCCAGTAATATGGCCCATTCGCGACATACAACATCCCTAACGTAGCCTTCTCCCCGCCACACAAGAGTTGGCCTCGTCGCTAAATCAACGCAAGAAGCTGCTCCAAGGGTTGGAGGCGGGGGTTTTCAACAGTGGTGGAGCCTGCCAGCCTGCCTAGGCTCCATGCCCCTCTCCTCACCCAGGCAGAAATTGAGTGAGCTTGCCTCACTATCGAACATGTATAGATGTCCCCCATACCCACCCCACCGATCTCTCGATCACCCCTTGCAGAGCCTAGCGTCGACAATGCTGGGTGAGTCCTTGCGCAAACGGGCCAAAACGGCCTGTCGACCTTGCAGGGAGCGGAAAAGGAAGTGCGAGGGTGGGATTCCTTGTTCAGCCTGCAGACACTTCGAGTACAATTGCGTCGTCGATCGACGACCCCGGTCAAGCAGTGTTTCTAGGCGAACGCTCGATCGTGGGGTTCGATCCAGCGTTTCGTCCCCACCGTCCGAAACCGATCAACCCCAGCACATTCACGACCAACGAAATGCGCCCGTACGGACTGAGCAAACACAGCTCCGCTCATTGGAGGCGAATTCGGGCGCGGTATTTGCTCGGAATCTTGGTCTGACAGCTGATTCGACGCGCCTTAAGCGGCTACAGCTTTCGGCGTGGAATCTAGGATTGAGAGATGAAGGGACACCCGCTGATGTTGTTCCGAGACCGATCGTCGAAACCATCAGCCTGAGCGAGATGGAAGCCTTGGCCACCGTCTACTTTAAAGAAATCCATGCTGTTTACGGATTTCTGGACGAGAACAGTGTTCGGAGGCTGATAGCCACGCGCTGGTATGACAACGCCACTATGCAATCATACGACTGTGTCGATTCTGTCCTCTGCGGAATTGCCGCCCTAGGCTGTGTGTTCTCCAAACAGCCGTTGAGCCTCGAAATGCAGCTTGCCAAATCCGCCCAGACTGCTCTAGCACAGTCTGTTCTACTCCCTACCCCATCCACGGATGATGTCGTGGCCTGGTTACTTCGGGTCATGTACCTGAGGCTGACCGCCTCGCCCCATATCACCTGGATGGCGACCTGTACGATGATGCATGTCCTGGAAGCTGCCCGCCTACACTTTGACGAGGGTGACGAGCCGCTACCCTCGAGCAACGGCGGAGAAGGAGGCCGAGAGAGCCGTCGGAGGATCTACCTAGTCGCCCAGCTGTTCAATATCTGGATTTCGTTTGACTGTGGCCGATCCAGGGTCGAACTTCGGGGTGCCTCGTGTCAGCTCCCGTCGCCCGACCCTGGCGGCATCAAACCCGAGCTACTCGAACTCTACTTAGTCTCGGAGATTCTCTCCCCCGACAAATACCAGACTGTGCCCGAGCTGGAGAACCTGTTGCGAAGGGCCCTCGACGTGAAGTCCGCGCAGCCCATGCTGGTGCTGGTACAGTGTAACGTGATGCTTTGCATATACCGTCGACTGCGGGTGCAAGGGTCAAGTCCCAACACGGAGACCCTAGAGCGGATGCTGTCGGCTTTGTCCAAGGCCGTCGACGCCGCTCGCGTGCTGCTAAGAACCGAACGGCCTTGGTGGCACGTCGCCAACGTGACCTTCCAAGCGGCCTGCGCCCTTCTCGCCATCGACACGAGCCTGTCTCTCGCCCAACTCATCCAGCCCCTCAAGGCTCTCGAAGACGTCAGCGCACATTACAAGACGAGCGCGACGCGGGAGGCCTACGACGCCGCGCGCGTGCTGGTCGGCGTTCACCGCAAACGCAAGGAACTCGACATCGCCAGACTCGACGGCGTGCTCCAGGAATGTCAATCGCACAATATCCCAGACTCGAATGACAACGACATCGACACCACAGGCAACGGCGACCAATGGTATCATCATCCTGCGATGCCCGCGTCCCTGGGCACCAACCGGATGGGACTGGGCGAGCTTGAGTGGGAGCAGTTTTTCAACCTAGATCTTCCCTGACATGATAATTTCGAATGCTGGTCTTTGCCATTTCCTATCTCTCTCTAGCGAATTGGTTCGGGCGAGTATCTAGTGACCTCGATCATTGGTTTGGTATTCATCTGTACAGATTTCCCGACACAGGCCCCATGTGCAGTCGGTATAAGTACCGAGATTGCCGCAATAACCGCTACCAGTTCCGGAAAGTCGGCGCGATGCGTTGGTAAGGTTGCCATGTAGGTCGCTTCAGCTATGTATTATCAATTATTATGTATCACTGATTGTATCATATCTCTGCATCATGCCTGGTCGTTCAAGTAAAGTCTTGGATGTCCCTTGCCCACCCCCTCCACGGAGCGCGTTTTGGGACGCCACCGTATGTAACAAGGCTAGATTCTGGTGAGTGCCGCAGCACGCGGCAAAGAGAAATCCGAATTCTCTGTGCTCAACGGGGGTGAATACATCACCAGTCTCAAATCAATCGCTTGCCCCATTCTATATAGCTATCCATGTAGCTGTTTCTCGTCGGTCTGTGGGCCGCCGCACGAGCGTGATATCATTATAACATTGCAACATATTAAACCCGCTTCGTCTGCTGTATGCTGTCTCTGCTAGCATTTTGTCTTCTCGGTGGCTACCCCCTTCCGGACAAGGCCGCGTTCTGCATCTTCCTCCTCTCCAGAGGAAGCAAAGTCCGAAAACACCAACTTTTCCAAGTCGGCAGATGTCAGGCCCGGATGCAGTCCCGCACGTCGGCGGAAGTATACGCGCTTGGCCCATTTCCAGGCCTCGCAGCCCAGGAAGAAGAGGACGGCTTCGACAAAGACGATGCCCCATTCCCAGGAGATGCCGGTGTGCTTGAAGACCTTGTGGTTGATGACCTGTAGTGGAAAAGGACGTTAGTGGTTGGCTCTGGTCCCTTGTGGGGGTGATTCCATATAATCCTTTTATTTCCGCGGGGCGGGGGGGGGGGGGGGGCGGTATATGGTTCAACGATTGGGATTTACTTACCGGGATGTAGATGGTGGGAAAGATGGTCACGAAGCCGGCCACGATGGCCCAGAAGAGAAACTGGTTGCGCCACACGTCGTACATCCACTGCGTAAAGTACCTCTTGCTGCCGGGCTGCATGCGGAAGAAGCTTCGGCGCATGTCGACCATTTCCCACGCGAGGAAGAGGGCGAACCAGGTGAGGCTGACAAAAGTCGTGGCGCGGGCCCGGAAGACTGTATCACACTGCGCCGAGTAGGACGTGTTGCAGTTGACGCCGAGATCTCCGTTTCCGAATCCGTACATGACCAAAACGAAGGACGATAGACAAAGCGCAGACATCCACAAGCCGTAGACGAGCATGTCGAAGCAGAGTTCCCAGGTGAAGACGCCCGCTTTCAGCGAAATCGGTGGCCTCTGAAGGATATCCGGCGCGGCGATCTCCAACCCAAGACCCATGTCAGGCATGCCAGACGTGATCATTATGACCCACATGATCTGGACTGGTGCTAGGGGAAACACAGAGAGACCCGAGTCGTCTTTGAATGCTAGGCCAATGAGCAGCGTGCAGGCTTGTGCAATATTCTCCGCCAAAAGGTGAAGGATGAATTTCTGGATATTGTCAAACATCCGGCGGCCCTCTTCCACAGCGTTGAGGATCGATGCAAAGTTGTCGTCCGTGAGAACAATGTCAGAAGCATCCTTGGCCACGTCCGAGCCTCCTTGCCCCATGGCAATTCCAACATCGGCGATTTTCAGCGAAGGGGAGTCATTGACTCCATCACCAGTCTTTTGGAAGTTAGCGGCACTCTTCCACAAGCAGGGACGGGAACAAAACTCACCATGGCCATAAAAGCGCCTCGTCGACGAAGGGCTTGGATCATCCGTACCTTTGTGTTGGGGGCACAGCGAGCGACAACCAAGGGTAAAGCTGGTAGCTCGTCCAGCTCTTCATCGCTGAGACGGTCGAACTCCTTTGCTGTCATGACCATGGTTTGCGAGGTGCGATGAGAGAATAGAGATTGGTCAGTGGGGAGAATGCCGACTTGTGCAGCGATGGCGCGAGCAGTGCCGGGATGATCGCCTGTCAACATGTGGACTTTCACTCCGGCGCGGTGGCAGCTCTTGACGGCATCCGCAGACTCTGGCCGAGGAGGGTCGTAGAGACCAATCAAGCCGCGGAAAGTGAGATCCCGTTCAATGTCCCCGCGGGGAGGTGGCCCTTCTCGACTGGCACGCCGACCGGAGCGGGGATTGTAAGGACGGCTTGCAAGGGCGAGGACCCGCAGACCTTGACTGGCCAGGACTTCCATGTTCTCTAGAATTGCTGCCTTCATTTCATCCGTCAGGTCGACGACGCCTGTCCCGTGCCAATCAATGCTAGTACAAGCATCAAGAACACGCTCGACTGCACCCTTGGTGTAAACCATTTGGTCCTTTGTCTCGAGGTCTTCAAACACAGTAGACATTCTTTTCACATCCGAGTCAAATGGATACTCGCTGACTTCTTTCACTGTAGCTTGCTTTGGGTCGAGGAATCTTTGCCTGTTGAACCCAAAGCGAGAGGCAAACACCTGAATTGCAATTTCTGTCGGATCACCAATGGCAACCCAGACTCCCTCGTTGTTGAGCTGAACGCGAGCAATGTTGCAAAGGGATGCCACAAGCAAGAAGTCCTTTAACGCGTCATTATTCTCCAATAGCTCGTCGGGTTTGGTTATGGGGCCATCTTCAGGTTGTACTTCACTTCGCGCAGCAGGGGCCGCTTCAGAGTAGGTTAATTCTCCTGTCGTTGGATTGAAAGGCTCGTTTGAGGTGCTGACTGTGTAGGTGCCACGAGCTGGGATCCAGCACTTTTTGGCAACCATTTTGCCCTGGGTGAGAGTTCCGGTCTTATCCGAGCAGATATCGGTGACAGCACCAAGGGCCTCCAATGACTTGAGGTTTCGAACGATGACATTGCGTTGAACCATTCTCTTCGTGGCTACGGCCATTGTAATTGTAAGGACAACAATCAGCGACGCCGGGATCATGGAAAGACCGGTAGCGACAGCGTAGATGATGACCTCGGAGCGGTCAGAGAATTCATTGGCGGCAAGGACAATAATGGCGCAGACAACCGCAATTCCGAAGAGCAGGATCGCCAGGCGGGAGAGTTTCTTCTGCAGTGGTGTTCCCACATTGACACCGAGAAAACGCCCGACAGCATCGGTAAAGGTTAACGTCCAGGACTCGACGTAGCGTAGGGGATTCACGGTGCCGTTCTCGCGATGCTTAACGTGGCGAATTTTGGAGTCTTTTTGACGGAGTGCCGTCGCGATTGACCCAATCTCCTGCGTCCCCGTATCAGAGATCCGTATTGAAGTGGGCAAGAAGAGCAGAGGTAAGAGTGACAACCCGAGGGAAAAGCACTTTCCCGAACCCTTCAGGATGCGAAGTCACTCACCGTGTACATGCCAGTCGCAAAGACTATTCCTCGGGCTCGACCCTTTGTGACTGTGGAAGAACTGAATGCTATATTCAGTCGATCCCCAGGGCCCGTCTCTTCATCAAAAATAGCCTCCTCATCCTTCGCAACAGGTAGAGATTCACCAGTGAGGAGTGCTTCGTCGGTCTCGAAGTTGATGGATTCAATTAGCCTGTGCGCTGTGAGTATCTTGAAGGGACTAAGGAGTTTCCACTGAAATCTTACCGGATGTCTGCTGGGACCGTGTCGCCGACTTTAAGCTCGACGAGGTCGCCGACAACGAGCTCTGCCGTGGGAATGGTCAAGTTGCTCCCATCACGGACCACAGTAGCGGTGGGTGAAGAGAGTGAGCGTAGCGAGTCCATGGTCTTCTCAGCCTGAAATTCCTGGAAGAAGCCGACCACAATGTTGAGAAGTATCACAGCAGTGACAACGCCTCCCTCGATCCAAGACTGAATTCCGAACGAAACTGCCATGGCCATTATCAAGACCAGCATCATCGCATTAGCAATTTGGCGCAGGAGGATCTTGAGTGGCTGTACGCCTGGGCCGTCATCCAACTCGTTGCGGCCATAGGTCTGCAATCTCTGAGACGCCTCTGTTGGTGTCAGTCCAATACCAACTGAGGTGTCCAGTTGCTGAACAAGATCATCTCGTCCAAGGGCGTGTGCTGGCTTGGTTAGGGGCTTGTTACTCTGGCCAAAAATATGATTGTCCATGATTTATTGTCTCTTCTTCGAGGTCGGGATAGTCGAGATTTCCAGCTGAACAGCAGCATGCGCCCTTGATATAGTCCCAAGAGCCGTGAGGGGACATGGGGTGACTGCAGCATCATCCTGGGACAACATTTTGACCCTAGCTGTGGGTCTCGCAGGTGCAATGTAGTACGCATATCGTAAGCTCAAAAACCGTCTTGTCTTTTTTAAAGTTCTCTGCGCCCTTGGCACCACTTTACCCTGTAAAGAGTTGTCTGTGTTTGATACTTGCGGTTGCTGTTTGGGAACAGAGACAGAAACGGAGTTCTGAAACAGCATGAGACGTCCGATTGATATTTCAGAGTCAGACATCTCTGTAAGGCGATGTTGCCTGTTAGAAAGCCACCTAGATGGCCATTAAAGGTGGCTAGGAATGAAGAGGGATGAAATGCTGAGGGAGGCATGTCTTGAGTGGCGTTCTAGGGGAGCAAAAGCCTGCCAAGCAAAATAGCGAGCTAGCGGGACCACGATACCGATTGAATGGAGCGGAATTAAGAGCCAAGCGTCTTGGCTGAAGAACTTCCACTCCGCCATGCCGTCCCAGGCGGAACCTTGTGGACCAGCAATATCTGCTGTTCCGTCTTGCCGGGCTTTAACGAAGTTCGCCGGCGAGCGAGAGACTCCCTGAGGTGATGATCCCACCAGACTAAGCGCGACTGACGTCAAATGTCGTGAGAAAATGTCAGCACTGTCGAGGTTGTCAATCAACACCCTTGGACGATGCCAACCAACCTGTTCTAGAGAAGAGCTCACTTGTGCCGTGTTTCCCGCATTGAGTCATCTTGTGTCCACGCAATCAATGATGATTAGACATTAGCATATCAGAACCAAGTAGCGCGTAAGGAAGGGATGTGTGAACAGTTATGAATAGAGATAACCATTTATTGGCATCTAGAAGCCCTACTGTGGAGGATGTCCCCTGCTTTTGTCCCGCCGAGACTTCTGTAAACCGCTCCCAGGTGTTGCCATAAACCAGCAGGGTAACCCCACGCCATATCTCGAAGTCCCTCGATTCCAGTGTTCATAATTAGGTCGTGCACCGCGTTGAGAGGATGGTCGAATTGACGCGAATCGTACTGGCTGTAGCCTCTCCGAAGGTGGGTTGGATGGGTGCAATGCCGGCTTGGCCCGTTCCATAAAATTGGCCTGGAACACCATAGCCTAGTTCCCGGAACCGGGCAGGGTTTTCAATGTCAAGTGGCCATGTGCATGTTTGGTTCGACTAGAGGCTTCCAACAATGATGCCCGTCTCTGCGCGATCTTCCCTTCTCGAACTTTTCCGATCGCGACGTAGTTAGGCTGAAGATTGGCGGTTCCTGGACGTCGTCTAAGGTCAAACTGGTGGTCATCTTGCGAGTTTGTCGCTCGGAATAGGAGGTTTCCGCCGGATAAACATCCTACATCTCCTCCATCTCCATCACGCCATGGGCAACTAGCCTGTCGCCCTTCCAGAGTCAATGGAAGCTCGTCGGCAAAAATTGTACCGAATCTGAGTATCTCCGCGTATCGAGCACCGAGGAGGATGGTACAGCTGCACAGGACGAAGAATAGGACGATGAAGAGTATAGTTGTGTCCCATGTCCTGAATGGGTCGTCGAGAAACCACGTCAACGTGTCTGGCGGAAGTTGTTGTTCTGCAGAAGTAGTAGAGTTGAACATGGTGTCTCTTCTGATAGCGAGATGGAATATCATGACGCTTTCTGGATGGCGCTGGATGATTGCCAGCAGCACAATTGCGATTGCTGGCAGAACCCTCAATTTGAAATGAGCATGTAACAGCTGCACTTATGCGAAGAACCACAGGTCTCCGGGGTGTGGCACAATGACTCAATTTTTTTTTATTTGAGACCGAGACCTCCAAAAGCTCTATCCAGCTCTTCCCCTTCACGGCTTGGAGACATTGCGGGTGCTGATATGACATGCCCAGGCTGCCCGTCCAGCAGATTCTGATCTCCCCCTGCCTTCGAGGACGCCTTTGTAGGCTCTAGTATCTTCTCCTCTCGATCCAACCAACCGGGCGCCACTCTGCGTTTCTCTGCCAGATCTCGATCCTTGATCTCTTGCTCCCATTCTTTGATGGCTCTGTCTGCACCTTCGAGGGTCTTTTTGAGGTGATCTTGGAGGGCATTACAAGAGTTTATGATATCATCTGGATGGGCAGAGTGCCCAGAGGAGGATGTGATATATTTGGGCTTTCCAGGGCCATTTTCAGCTATGATGGACGGGGGAAGCGACGTGGGTACAGATCGAAATGTGTAGGGCAGTGTCACAGCAGTCGGCAGCGACAGAAAGGGCGAGACAGTTAAGGGAACCTGCGCAAGCAGTGGATGTGGCTCTGTTCAAGTGGTTAGCTGTCTCGAAGTTGCTTGCTCTGGAAGGCCTATGCCGGGACACTTACTGTGAGTGTCAAACATGTCTGGTAGTTGTGAGATCGGTGGTTACATTTAGGCAGTGGGAAAATGACCTCCAAGCCCAACTGCGGGCCAGCTCGAGTGTGATTGGAGAATGAGTCTCACTTGTACCTAAAGGCCATCGAGGTATCTGGCGAGTCGGGACTTTGGTGATGACAAGTAGTAAACTAAAGTTCGCAGAGGCGTGAAGGTAATACGATGGCGAATGGAGGTGAAGCGCATGCCTCGCTACCACGTCGGACCCCATATCATCATAGGTGATGAAAGGCGTCTGATCTCTCCCACCTTGCCCCTCCATCAACAGAACCCGCTGTCCACCATTCAGATCATCCGTAGAGCGATGTGCTTTTAGTTCTCAGAGGTTCACCCAAATATCAATCCTGTGCAACTGAACGAATCCATCACCCAAGCATCTGTCTATTTGCAGGCGCAACCGCTTGGTGCAGTTGGACTGGGTGCGTTCTAGTTTCTTGGGGAATTTCAGCCCTGGCCTGAACTGGATCTGGACCCTAAAATCCAATCCTCCTGAAACAGGTCGCAAATCGGACTCGTACAGCTTCAGCCGCCCCCCATTTTCAACTGCTGCCCACTTTTATTTTTCAGCTCTTGCACCGTGTTTGCAGGCAACATCTCTCCTCACCGCATCCCAATCTTCTCTGCGACAGCTTCTGAGAAGTCCGCCTCGTCACTTGATCACCTGCCTCTTAGGTCACTTCGAAAACGCCGGTTCAACCACCTCCTGAGCACGAGGACGAGCAACAATTATTCCCTCCGGCGCTAACATTGCCCCTATCAACTTTGCTGACCATTTCCGTTGAAGAGGTCGCCGATATCTTTGTTTCCTCTCCGCAGACTCAGCGCTGGTATATTTCATCCCTCTCGAAGACCGTTCGCGCCCGGAGCGCACCTCACAATCACGATGGATGGCCCGTTACACAGAGCCGTGGTGGATAAGAAGCCCGTGCCAGAGATTGATTTCACATTGCATATCATGGAAGATGGCTCCCAGGTGAGCACTCAAGAACGAGTATGCAAGGGTAGGTTGTTGAGAGGTTTCGCGCGAAGGCCATTTCTGATGCAATGGCAGATGTCCAGGCTCCGGCCATGCAACCCCCCACGAACGAACAGTTTTGGTCTTCCAGCGACCGATCAAAGCCGAACTTGTCCTTCCTGAAGCAACACTTTTACCGAGAAGGTCGGTTGACTGAAGAGCAAGCCTTGTGGATCATAAGTGAGGGTACAAAACTCCTGAAGGCGGAACCAAATCTGCTGGAAATGGATGCTCCCATCACTGTGTGCGGCGATGTCCATGGACAATACTTTGATCTCATGAAGCTGTTTGAAGTAGGCGGGGATCCTGCTGAAACTAGATATCTCTTTCTGGGGGATTATGTCGACCGTGGGTACTTCAGCATTGAGGTACGGCCCCCGCGTTCTGCTCAGAAACCTCGTGTACTGACGGTCTATCCAGTGCGTGCTTTACTTGTGGTCTCTCAAGATTTGGTACCCAAATACCTTGTGGCTTCTTCGCGGAAATCATGAGTGCAGGCATTTGACCGACTACTTCACCTTCAAACTCGAATGCAAACACAAATACTCGGAAAAGGTCTACGACGCATGCATGGACTCCTTCTGTGCCTTGCCACTGGCTGCTGTCATGAACAAGCAATTTCTGTGTATACACGGTGGCCTAAGCCCAGAATTGCACACCCTGGAGGATATCAAGAGCGTAAGTCGTGATGAGACTCTGATTTGGCCCATGCTTGAGCTAATACTCCCAGATTGACCGATTCCGCGAGCCTCCCACTCATGGCCTCATGTGTGACATCCTCTGGGCCGATCCTCTGGAGGAATTCGGTCAAGAGAAGACCGGGGAATACTATGTGCACAACCACGTCAGGGGCTGCTCCTATTTCTTTTCCTATCCGGCCGCTTGCAACTTCCTTGAGAAAAATAACCTCCTCTCCATCATTCGTGCGCACGAGGCTCAGGATGCCGGCTATCGGATGTATCGCAAGACGCGAACAACTGGTTTCCCCAGTGTCATGACCATTTTCAGCGCGCCAAACTACCTTGATGTCTACAACAACAAAGCTGCAGTGCTCAAATACGAAAACAATGTTATGAACATCAGACAGTTTAACTGCACCCCTCATCCTTACTGGCTTCCGAACTTCATGGATGTCTTCACATGGTCTCTACCTTTCGTCGGTGAGAAGATCACAGACATGCTGATTGCCATCCTTAACACCTGCTCTAAGGAAGAATTGGAGGAAGATACACAGAGCTCGAGCATGGAACCCGAGACACCTCCATTTGGCGCCGATCCAGAATCCACAGAAGCCAAGCGGCGAGCCATCAAGAACAAGATCCTCGCCATTGGGCGACTTTCCAGGGTCTTCCAAGTCTTGCGTGAAGAATCTGAACGCGTCACTGAGCTGAAGACTCAATCCGGAGGTCGCCTGCCGGCAGGGACTTTGATGTTGGGTGCTGAGGGCATCAAGCAGGCGATCCACAACTTTGAGGACGCTCGTAAAGTTGATCTCCAAAACGAACGTCTCCCACCGTCGCCAGAGGAAATCGAGAAGCGCAGCGCCGAGGATAGGCGAGCTGCACTGGAGAGAGCAGCCACTGAAGCAGAGAACGACGCTAACCTGCAGGGCGTGGCAAGGAGAATCAGCTTGTAAGTCATTCACTCATTGCCATTCTATCAATGTTCTTTGGCTCACACAATACAGTGGATCGTCCAACCCACGTGGCCATCGTCGAAAGGAGTGAGAGTCTGAATATGACTAAAGTGAGAATCGTACACGATGCTCTTTTGATGATGATTGAACGAGTCCACGACTCCGGCCCAGTCTCTCAAGGTCAACGAGTGGCGAGGCATATTCTTGAGCAGTTACGAGGAGCAGAAAGCAGTTCGGCTACAGGGAGTGCTCGGTGCCTTGTGTGGAAAGGAATAAAAGGAAGCAGATGGTGTCGCAAGCGTGTCGCAAGCAACGGTTGGCTGGCAGAGCGTGACCGACGCCTCCGCTTTCCCGTATTAGGCATCCTTTGTGCTGTCGGTATGGATCAAGTGCCAATACTCTCTACTCGTCCTTGGGTAGTGCTTGTAGCCTACTCATGGAGCAGAAATAAAAGACCCATGCCCTTCCTGGATATTTTCTTTCCCTTCCTCTTGTTTCTTTGTAAGATTCATACTTGGTTCTCACTGTGGTGCTACTGAGACGGTGAAAAATCGGCGCTGCTGCGAATGCGAGGACATGATTGTAGGGATTCAATCGAACGGATTGAGGCTAGAAATGGGTTCTTAGGCTGGAAACGAAGACGGCGCCACCAGCGCCTGCAGGTGTTGATGAATACTCGGGATGGCCTGAACCGTGTGCCAGACCCTGTGAGCCTGACGAGGTTGAACCACTTTACGCGTGGACGCGGTGGTCAGCGATCGAAATGCGCCCAGTTGATTTCCCTCCGGGTCAACGGGCGCCACCATCGCCAGGATCGTCCCGCACCTTCTCCTGAGTCCTGAGCACCTGGTTGGCTCACTGGGATCACTAACGACACCTTTCGCTCACTTTACCACCAATCTCTTTCCCTCGTCCCGCCTTCTAGCCTACCATCGTCCCGATCGACGCGTGATTATGCCTCAGGCATCAAGATGTTCTCTTCGCTCCCTGATGCGCACAGCCTTGCACACAATTGAGCTTCATTGAACAGTGCTCTATCAGCGGACTTTGGGCGTTCATGGGATTAAAATTGGGGCTTATATGGCTAGCCGCTGAATCGGAGCAAAAACACCAGAACAGGTTCTTGCAGCTCGCTCGTACACGAACCACTCAACCGCTGATGGTCTGTACGAGACCAGAATCGCCATGCCACCTACACCAAAAGAGATCAGCGACAACATTGACCAGACCATTGACAGCCTGAATACACAATGGGATCTCAGACTTCCCAGGCTCCGTGGTGGGGAAGATCCTCCCGCCGATGAGTCGGAACGTCTGGCTGGCAAATGCTCGATGCTGATCAGATTCCTCTGTTTCAAGACAACAACCACGAAAAAAGCTCTGGACCTGTTCAAAGGGCGCGCACGGACAATTCACTCTCAATGGGTATTCAAGCCCTTACAAGAACCAGGCACTTTACCTGTGCTGCCCGTGGTCAAGAGTCTCGTTGCTCGCAAGGCCGGCCTGGTCCGTCTGAGCGATTCCCAGCGATGCGCACTTCTAGAACTTCTATACGCCATATTGAAAGGAGCAAAAAACGAAGCAGAAGATGACTGGGAGCTGGCAAAACTCTCGGATGCGTTCTCGACCGAGCCAGCTACTACTTCGAGCGCGGGGTTTGCGACCGCTCCGACAACCCCAGTCAAAGAAGCACCGTCATGGGGGCAAGACTACTTCTCAACCCCACCACGCGAGATCCAGCAGAAATCTGAGGCTCAGGAGACTGAGTTGGATGAGCCACACTTGAAACACCCTATCTCAATATCTTCAAAGCGCACAATTGCCTCTCCTAATGGTGTCAGTCCTATCCCTGAATTTCAGATTCCGTCTACTCACTTTCCGCCACAGCAAAACAAGCGACAGCAAACTCTCTCAGAGTTCCGACAATTCAGACATATCTCAGGGCCCCCTCTAGAAACCCGCACAGTCCGACCCCCTGACCCCATCAGCTTTGAGACTGCGGTTTCTCCTGCCGCGTCATCCGTTTTCTCGAGTGCCGATGAAGGGAACGGAGGCCGAATGTCGAATGACACATCCATGGTCAGCTCGCAGGCTGAAGAGTCACAAAACTTATTTCCAACTCAAGATTACAATGAGATATTCAATGATGACCAATTCTCCACTTCCTTCAGTGAATTGAGCAAGGCTGCCAGCCCGTTCGACCCAACCAGTCTCGAAGTCAATGGCCCCTTTAAAATACAAGCAATGCTACCGCCACATGTCCCGTTTTGGTATTGTTGGGAATTGCACCGACTTGCGCCCTTGTTTGGCCTGAAACCAATCGATCTATACCAGAAGATTGGAGAAACCAACAAGATATCTACCATGTCTGGGGAAGATTTCTGGGCTACAGTTAAGGAGCTTTGTCGTGCAAAGGCTGTGCAACCACTACCTCAGAAATCAAACCTACCTGGGTGGATTGCGCAAGAAGGCAACTACACGGATATAAGAACGAACAGGGTCGCCCATTTCACCGGCGCCTTACAATGGAATGAAGACGGTTCCCAGAGCCTACTTCAGCTTCGACTGAATGCCGTTCAGCTGGTGCAATCAAGCCGCTTCCATCGAAAATTTGGTGCTGACAGATTCCTTGCGCTTGACGGTCCCGCTTTTAGGATTCCGGACAAACTTCGAGCACTCAGCCCGAAGACAGCACCAGTGTATGACAAGGTCATTGATCTTCTGGCGTCAAATTCGCATTTCATTGCAGGACGCTATTGGAGAGTATGCTTCGTCGAAGAGTTGAAGTCTAAAGCACGGCGCAATAAGGCGTCATCGCGGCATTCAAGATTCATCCTCTTCGCAGAGACCGGGTTCGACATTGTCCCACGACCTCTCTTGAAACTCAATGTGCCGGACCTCAAGGCTGACGGTCAACACCGCACTATTATGCGACAACAAGTGATGCAGTGGCATATGCCCCTCGATGCCAACTCTGATTCGAAGGATCTTAAACTGTTCTCCAGATGGAGCATTGGATTCTCGAGGACGACTCCTACGGTAGAGCTGAAACGGCTTGAGTTTTTATACAAACATGACGAGCTTGGTGACATGCCTCTTGACGGTTCAGACAGCAAAGTGATGAATGATGGCTGCGCTTTAATGTCTTACCCACTCGCCAAAGCGATTTGGGCAGCGTACGGCGGCGAAGGCGAGCCACCTTCTGCTGTCCAAGGACGCATCTCAGGTGGTAAGGGTCTATGGTTAGTGGATTACCAAAACATGCACGCCGATGTCAGCGACAGAGGCTACTGGATAGAAGTATCCGATTCTCAATTGAAGGTCAAACCACATCCACGCGACCGCGATGATGCAGATTCGGACCCAACCTTGCGAACGTTTGAGGTGTTGAAATATGCCAGCGAATGCAAGCAAGCACATTTGAATATCCAACTCATCACCATCCTCGAAGACAGGGGGGTTCCACCCTCCATACTTCGAGACAAATTGCAGTCGGATGTTCAGTCGTTCTCGGCGTCTCTCACAAACGCTATGAAAAATCCGAAACAGCTTCGTCTCTGGATGCAAGAGCATGCACATACATGCCGCGTTACGGCTCGGAGCTACTTGGGCTCGTTCCCGTCCAAGAACAACGAGCAGATAAATGTCCTGTTGGAGTCTGGCTTTCATCCGCAAATGTGCAAGAAGCTCATCACCAATGCTTATCGTCTACTCAGCGATTACATGACCAATTATACGGACAAGATGCGGATTCAGATACCCCATTCTACGGCAGTCTTCTGTGCACCGGATCCATTAGGCGTGCTTGCACCTGGGGAAGTGTATCTGGGTTCTTCGAACCCCTTTATACATCCCGTCACCGAGATCAGAGAAACCACGCTCGAAGGTCTTGAACTCCTTGTTGCTCGAAATCCAGCACATCTGGCATCCGACATGCAAAAATGCACAGCTGTCTATAAACATGAGCTGCGTCACTACAAGAATGTTATTCTGTTCTCACAGAAAGGTGCTATCCCTCTCGCCTCACTGTTATCCGGCGGCGATTACGATGGTAAGTCTTGTAGGGTAGATTACATCTTCCCTCAACCCTGACATCCAAGTTCATCATGTACATTTTGGTGAGAAAAGGCTGACGTGTCTCCTTGTGGGCATATAGGAGATGTGGTGACATGTATCTGGGACCCAGAGATTGTTCGACATTTTCGCAACGCCGAGATGCCACAAATGCCGAGAGAGATTGAGTGTGGTATGGTTCAGCGCTCAGAACTATTATCAGTTATGTTCAATAAAGGACGCCCACTCGATGAAAATTTTCAGACCTATTTCCGCAAATGTATTGCTTTCAATGCGCAGCCCAACTTGCTAGGCTCGTGCTCGTCAGAACATGAAAAGTTAGTTTATGCCCTCAGTCAAACACGAGAAACCAACAAACTATCCCACCCTGGTGCCGTGAAACTGGGAGCGCTGGCAGGTTTCCTGGTCGATAGCACCAAGCAGGGTTGGGACCTTCCAGAGAAAGAGTGGCACAAAATCCGCATGAAATCGAGCGGCTCCAGCAGCTTACAAGAGCCTGCCTACAAAGCCGGAAGCTCGAGGAGGCGAGACGAGCTCTTGAACATAATTGACTACCTCAGGTTCGACGTTGCCGAGACCTTGAAAGAAAAGGCGCTACGAGAGTTCGCGAGGCTAAGAGACGCTGAAAAGGTACTCAACTACGATAGGGATCTAAGCCAACATTGGCTTTACTGGTCATCTCCGATAGAAAAGCATAGGACAGAGAAGAGACAAGCAGCTCGGTTTCGGGTTGGACAGCACACTTCTGATGCTACGACAGGATTATCGGCCCGACAGATCAAAGGGCCAGATGCTGTAGACTTGGAGATGCTTACTGACTTGTTGGAGGGTGAGCAAGGTCTTCTTGAACAAATCAAGGAGGTGGACGCGATATGGGCGAGGCTGAACCTCCAGATTGAACCGACTCCCGACGAAGCTAGAGACTGGGAGAAGTATCGCCTGGCGATTGAAACGGTGCATGAGAAGTTCCGAGCCATCCAACCGAAGCGAATGGATCATGAGCTTGGTCGTCGCTGGAAGGCGGAACAGGACCGACCATTATCCGACTGGGCTCTCCTCAAAGCATCGTGTCTCCATAAAACGGTCTGCTCAAGAGGAATTTCCCCAGAATGGGTGTGGTATGTCGCCGGACGAGAGTTCTGTTACTTGAAGGCACTGCGACACGCAGGTGGTATCAGAATCGTTGTTTCGGAGATTCATGACTTTTACAAGGTGGACACAAAGTATGCTAGAGCCTTGTTGGAAGGCTCACTTGACGATCGAGGTGACGAGGAGAATGCCGTTGATGAAGAGAACTTGATGGATGACGATGTCGGATTGGAAATGGAATGACGATTGGATGACACGATGGCTACGAGTGTTGGACATTTGGCGAGACGGCGATATCCCTGGATTGCATTCTATTCTATGATACCCCCTGTTGGTTCTCGTTTGGGTTAGAAACATGAAGGGAAGGGCAGGGAAAGGTAGGACACACAAATTCCTCGACCGAAACCTGGTGTCATCAAGGGTCCCTGCGCTCCAAAAACCCCCGTTTCTTTTTCTATTTCTTTGTTCCGACCCCCTCAACTCCTCCTACAGGAATTTATCCAGCCACCTGCTCTCCATTTCGACCACATTCATCCCACCCTTGCCTATCATTCTATGCGAGCATTCTTGTAAATGGCAGCTATGAATTTTTCACGGGTTCCCTTGGGCGTCGCGCCAAAGGACTTGAAGATGGCCACTATCTTCTTCTCCAAGCTAATGGCAAAGCAACATGTTCTCTTATCAGAAGCATACTATCATGGCCAGCCAGAGCAACAGGGGCACGACAGCATACAGAGTCATCAGCGTCTGTATCAACTTGACTCTCGCCTATAGCATACTATGCACGGCGGTGTTCCTACGAGCGAAAGGAGCTGTCTGCTCTACCACATCTTCAGGTGTAAATCTGTCGATTGCTTTTGTGAGTCGTGAGCAGACAGCTCAATTCAAGTCATACTTTGTGTTGAGGAAAGGTCTTAACTGTGATTCTAGTCCTTACCTACGATTATCATCATGGCGATCCGATGTTACCTCATGTTCCGACAGAGAAGCAAGGTTTTGCAGACCATATCACCCTCGACGGCATCACCAAGGCTGGAAGCGCTCTGTACTACGTGTGTCCAAGTCCTGGTGTTTCTCTGGATGATCCTGGGCTGTCTCAATCTTCTTGTCGCACTCCGAGCACCCACGTGTCTAAGAGGGCCGTTGGAGGAATGGCAGAATGATTTGAAAGAGCACAACTGGAGATTTGGTCTCTCCTGCCGGCTGCACCGCGCTCTGGTGGCTTTGTCTATCCTGATGGCGTAAGTCAGCCCTCAGTGTATTCTCAGAATCTCTTTTCTGGGACAAATTCGCTGACACTTCTATAATCTATTAGCATATTCATGGCCTACCTCTCCTTCTTGGATCAGCAACACCTATCTCACCGTAAAGCGGGTGTCTGGAACTGTTACTGTGCTTGTCTGCCTCGCAATGCTCCCCAGGCACATGCTCCGGCTCTTTCCATCTCAAGCAGCCGTTCTGGTTTCTCGGTCGAGAAGAACGACCATCTCTTCCTCATCCCCGAACGCCGCTCAAGCAGGTTGGAGCACGAACAATGGCTACAGCGTCGCAACAGCCTGTCGTCTCAAAAGGCCATCTATCCACACAAATACTACTACTACGACCACCGGCACAAGTATCAACCTTATGCCTTGTCACAGGGCAGCCGTTATTCGAGCACCCTGCGCTCGGTCTCCGAGGGACAAAGCTTGGACTTGCATGATCGCAATTCGTCCCTCTGCTCCTCGCAGTCTTCTCGCTCGGCCAGTACAAGGCGTCCGACTCATCCATCCCCGATGCGCCCGCGCAGCCGAGCAAATAGCAATCCAGAAAGGGGTGACCTGCGCCGGGATCCTGCGACGATATCTGCGACCAGCGATAGTGGTGTACCCGAGGTCCCACCTCTACCAATCGCTCCGGCTCCGACCTGGTCTCCAGCCTTGCAGCATGCGCCGTTGAGCGCGGATCCTACTATTCGAGCTTTGAGCACCGGTTCGGGTTTGGCACCATCGCTGTTGCATTCAAAGTCATCTCCAGACTTGCGAGGCGTCCAGCCCGAAAATGTCCACACTGCATCTACATTGGCCATGGCCCCCAAAACGAAAGGTGAAGCCGTCCACCCTTCGTCAACAACACCATGTGCATCGACGAAGCGTGCAATGAAGACCAGCACGGAAGCAATATCACCAAGAAAACCGGCGACACCAATGCCCACTGTGCCACCACCAGCTCCTCCCAGTCACCGACCAGTACTGGCGATAACAGCACCTGCCATTCCTGCTCGCGCACCGGGTCACTCAACAACAACTCCGAGGGCGAGGCCACAGTCCAGGGTAGGCACCAAGACGGCGACTCGTTCAAGGTCCGCCTCAACATCGGCGACCACCTCGCGGTCGAACCTCCGCCGACCAAGCCCCATCCGTCACCGGCACTATCACCATCCCCACCCTCATCATTACCACCAACAACCCGCCACCCACGGGCTGTCGGCCACTCAGAACCAACTGCCCCTGCAGCACTACCAGCACCAACGCGTCTGGCGGCGCGAGAACAGCACGACCCCCTCGAGCATCTACTCGGCGAGCAGTTACGGCACTGAGCGGACCGTGTCTGTCGTGACGAGGGGAAGTACCAGCACCAGGACGCCCACCGCCGCGGCCGCGGGGTACGGGGTCACACCGAGTTCGCACCTGAGACCTGGCGTGGTCGCCGCGTGCAGGTAGGAATGTCAACACGTGTACTGTTCTTTGAATCATTGAAAAGGGAGAGACGTGTGGGGGACGCGAGGGCGCAAGGGAGTGAGGGAGGGAGGGTGGCGAAAGGAGTAACAGCAAGGGGCAAAGTGAGGGCCAGCCAGGAGAGGCTTGTGCCATTCGGGACAGAAAAGAAGACAGTGTACCACCAGACGGACGCTCAATGGTATGATGTTTGTCAGACCCTGGCGGTCCTTATCGTCACCGACCCATCCCACTCCATCCTATCTTTATCCCATCCCATCCCATTAATATCTACCTACATCCTAGGCAATCTTTTTTTTTCTTCTCTTCATTCTTATTTCACGCCTCCATTGCTCCCTTTTTTTTCCCTTTCACTTTTTCTCCTTGCCAGTCTATGAAAATTCTCCACTCCACTCTCTCCATGATAGCCACGTGACTATCCACGAGATAGGTAGCCCGTCGAGATATGGACAGGGGCTGAAAGGGGAGAAAAGGGTTAAAGTACTGTAAGGTAAGGAGGCGCAAAGGAGGCAGCCCCGAGGAGTCAGGGTGAAGCGAGAGAGAGAGAGAGAGAGAGAGAGAGAGAGAGAGAGAGAGAGAGAGAGAGAGAGAGAGAGAGAGAGAGAGAGAGAGAGAGAGAGGAAGAATCGGCATACACATAACAGATGCTTGAGGCGGGAGAGATGAATGAAATGATTGAATGGGTGGGTGGATGGCTGGATACATTTCACACTTGTGTTGGACTGTACCCCTACATGTACGGAATCGCATTCCATGTCCATGTACAATTAATTACACTGTGCAATTCCCGGCACCTGGGTATGGATGGATGGATAGGACAGCTCCGTTACGAGGTAAGATGGAGCGTGTTGACCGACCCCAGAGACTCGCTGTCCTGTGTATCTGTCTCTTGCTGATACATACAACCGGCTGCGTTCATCCGTCGGGTTCATCCTCGTTCCTCGTTTCACCATCTCAGTCTCATTCTCGTGCCCTTTTCGTTGCTGATTTGTTGCTGCTGATGTTGGTACAGGGATGTCTCGTTCAGTCGTTCGTTGGTTGGCAAATCCGTGTGTCAGAAACTCCTGCATGCGCCAGAAACACCCTCGTCCAGTCTCCACATGTCGTCGCGAGCCGTGGCATATGGACACACAACTCTCCTTCACGCCATGCCTCTGCCGCATCTCAAACTCCAGTCATACATTGAGCCAACCCAAAACCTCAACGTTCTCAATCATGGGAACTCTTGACTTCCTCGACCTTCTTTGACCCGACTTGCTTCCAATTGGTGCTTAACGAGGTTCCGTTACTCTCGTAGAAGCTTTTAGCCATCGCTCTACGTGTGTCGTCGTCCGACATGGCATAAAGCTTCTTGAAGAATCCGTCTACCGCATCGCCCCCGTCGTACTCCGAATCATAGTCACTATCTTGATCTGCACGGGTGTCGGAAGTGCTGGCAGGCTTGTCTTTCGAAGGGTCATCCGGATTGGATTTGCCCGTCTCTTTCGACTTTGGCTTGCTTTCCTGCTTGGCTCGTGCGTGGAGTTCGTCGGCGAGTTTATCCCAGTTCTTTGGGCCATGGCGGGAGGAGGTTGGGTACGAAGGGGGATTATCCTTCACCACAATTGGTTGTGTAACTGCCGTGGCCGGCGAGGAAGTATTTGTCGACACTAACGTTGGCTTTCGCTCACCTCCCACTTCCTCTGTTCCGTTATCTGCTTCGGAAGACACTGGTTTTAGCGGCGCAACGCCTTCCAGGTCATGCCACTTCCCCGATTGCGCTTTCTTCAGCGTCAACTCGATCTTCGTTGATAGAACAGCGTACCGGCTTTGAGATGGATCGATGAGAGCGAAGAGCGGGTCGAGTGTGAATTGAAAAGTGGAGGACGGGTTAGACGGGTGGGGGAAGGAGACAGACACAGAGTCTTCCTGAATATTTATCTCACAGGCGTCTTTGGGGACATTCTTCGCGTACAGTGTCAGAGTGACCGTTTGGGTAGATTGATACCATTCGTGTCGAATCTTGAATGGAGCAGCGGTGGGTTTAGTCTCATCGTTGTTCGGCTTGGTGGTACCAGTGGTATCGGCAGCGGCGTCGGGAGCGGTGACCTCGACGTCTTTGTCATTGTCGAACTTGAAAGATCCATCCGGATTTAGTTGTGTCTTAAGCCACTCCTTCATTTGTGTCTCACTAGGTAGGTCGATCGCTGGATATTCCTTCACCGACGACACCCTCTCAGACTCGGGAGCATCTTTCAACTTCCCATCCAGCCTATTTAGCCACATCTTCCCTTCCATCTGCGCAGATTTGGTCGTTCTCCATTTCTCCATCATCTGTAAAACCGCTTTGGCATCTGCGTACCGTCCGAGGCCGTAGAGAGCCACGAGTCGTCGCTGTTGTGCAGCCTGGATCTTCTCCCTCTTTTCACGTTTCTTGGCAAGAAGAAGGGCATACTCTGCATCTTTCAGAGCGAGGTCATAACGGGGTGGCGAGAGACGTGTGAACACGAGCGACCGCTGGTGGAAATAATCCGGGGAGTAAGGGTGGTCGATGAGCGCGCGAGTGTAAAGCGACACAGCAAGGGGAAAGTCCTTATCCTCGACAGCAGCGGCACCTCGAGAGGCTAGATCCATGTTGCTAGTATTGTTATTATGGACAGAATGAATACATCGGGATCGAACTGTGGTTGAAAAGAACAATACGAGGACAACAGAATGTCCGAGAATGTCGTCTTCTTCGAAGCCTTAACTCCGCATATTTTGCTTATATCCGATGCAGGTCGACCTCTTCACAATCCCGCCAAACGCACATGTGGCTTGACAATGAACTTCCTTGTGTGGACGCAACATACACGACAAGACAGGACTCGGCCTGTGAACGCCAGTCGTGTCGGAAGCCTCGCTTGTGAGAGGCCTCCCCTCCTTGTTCCTCTATGCTCGAGACATCTTACAACGTGAGGGAAACAGGTTGAAGAATGGCAAATGCGACTTTGAAGAGCGTCCCACCTAGTGTCCGAAGACAGCCATCATGAGCAATCGCTTTTATGTGTGTTCACTCGCATGCCTGGTCTTGGACAATACCTAACGACTGTGTCAGTTTGGCGGCTCTGACTCGGGCTCAGATGCTGATGATAACGATGCCTCTCTTCCCTTCCCCAAGCCATTGGAGCGTTCTGCGTTCCTCGCTCCAGACTTTGACGCCGCAGCCTTTTTGTCGAGTCTGTCCAATCGATTCCAGACTCTTGAAGACCTGCAGACAGAGCTGCGGGAACTAAGCCAGACGCTCAACAAGGAACTGGTCGATCTAGTCAATGACAATTATCAGGATTTCCTTGCGCTAGGAAGCACGCTGTATGGCGGCGAAGAGAAAATAGAGGACATTCGACTTGGACTATTGGGGTTCGAGAGAGACATAAAAGCAGTCAGGGAAAAGGTTGACGCAAGAAGGAGTGAGGTGGCGGAGTTACTGAGACAGAAAAAGGCGCTGAGACAAGAGGCGAGCATTGGACAAGCATTGCTCGAGATTGCGGAACGCTTAGATCTACTCGAAGACAGGCTCGAAATCACGGCACCAACTACGAAGCTGTCCGCACCTAATGTCAAAGATGGTGACGGCGAGCAGTGGGGTGAGGAGTGGATTGGAGAAACGACCACCAACGACATTGACGAGGCATTCAACTCGGATGAGGCTGATGGCATCCCCTCCAGATTGAAGCACACGACTGACGAATATCTCATCTTGAAACAACTGGCGAGCAAACACAGTCCACAGCACCCTTTCCTCTTGGCCCAAGAAGGTCGAATGCGCAAGATCCAAGAGATCTTACTCTCCGACCTGGAAATGACCATCAAACAGGAAACCGAGGTCAAGAAGAAACAAAAATTATTACAGATACGCGGTGCTGTGGAAGAGTGATGTACCCGAGTGGGTGCTTGCATGCAGAAGAGCAACTCTTTTCCATCCTTTGATACCTGTACGCCGAGCCTGATGTATACCCCCGGTACCAAGACACTGAAGAATGAACGGCCCTTTCAAACAACTGCCAACTGTTGGGGAGTAGCAGCTCCCGGTGCTGGCCTGTAGAAATCCCCATTCAGAGAAAAGCCAGGGGAATTCGTGGAGCTCAAAACCACCTCGTAGATCTCCTTGACAATCTGGTCACTCAGGGCGGCCGCGTCTTTCTTCACTGCGTTGACGTATGCCTTCACGTTGTCCCGCAGCTGCTCCGGTGTAAAGCTCAGTCTTCCCACTGCCATCCTTACCACGCCTTGTCTTTCTCTATATGTACTGCCACCCATCATATTCCTCACAGCAGGCCCCGGATTCGACACAACAGAGCCCATCTTGACATTGGGCATGAGACCCCTTGGTCCCAATATCCTCGGTATCCCCTCTTTGTTCATCTTCTGTAAGGACTCGGGCACGGCGATGCACCGATCAAAGTCGATTTTGCCAGCTTTGATTCGTTCAAACACTTCCTCTTCCCCAATAACATGGGCGCCGGCTTCTCGCGCTCGTTGCGCTGCAGTTGAGTCGGGGGGACAAATCACCGCAATTTTTATGTCTGTTTTGACAGGGTATGGGAGACGGATCGCATTGCGAACCACGGGGCCATCTTTTTTGGTGCGGAGTTTGATATGAATGTCATATTTTGGCGAGTCGGGCTCGCGGCCAATTTCGAATGCTTTGATATATCTGTGACGGGTCAACAATGCCCTTGATCACGTCGGATAGCATGTCTTCGCCTACCTCATTGCTTCGCACAGAGTGAATTGCTCAATGTCTTTGAGGTTATATTGCTTGTACGCTCTATGCTTCTTCCTCCTTCTCTTAATCTTCTCCCTTGCAGCCTTTTCTTTGTCTGATAAAGGCCGAGAACCGCCCACCGCGGACAGGACTGGGGCAGAGGAAAAGCCTCGAGCAGCTGTTGCTATGCATGGCGTCGATGCACGTGTCAGAAATGGAGCAAGGAAGGAAGACGTCGTAAGACGACACAGTCTTTTCG